CATCACGACGGCAACCACCACCCGCATCAGTGGTGATCGCACTCCCGACACTTGGCCACCGTTTATTATTGGCATCATCCCCCTTGCTGCAGCCGCTTCGTTGATCATATCAACGAACACCGCCGATATTACTTCCCCTACTTCCAACACTGTTAAAAAACCCTTCCGACGTCTCGTCAACCGGTATCTTCACCACCACCGCCCACAGCACCAGAAATGGGGACTAGATCCCAAGTTGTCCTCAGCGCGCCTGAACATTTACCTCCCGCAAAGACCTGGCCGTCCACTAGCAGATCCATCGCACTGTGACCAATGAATCAGTGTCTTTTAGAGCCGCTGTTTTTCATCCATCTGTTCGAAAATCGTATCATAAAAATTTTCTGTATGAAAAAAAGTAGTACTAACATCAGATTTTTCATGATCCTAAATTTAATTAGCCACTTTTTACGTGCAACTAGACGCAGACGTCTTGGAAAATTTTTAATTGAATTTGAACTCACCGGCAGATGAATTATCTCAATTTTTCGTTGCATGCTATCTGATATTGCGTCGCTACTAAGGCACCATTTCCTTCTTGTAAATGGCGTTTCATGAGTTTCTGTGAATTTAATGTTAACGTTTCTACTTTGTGAGCCCTCTTATCACACGTAATGCATTTTCAGACCCTCGAGTACTGTTTCGGGCAAACTCCTCTCTGGCCAATTTTACGCCTACTCTGCTCTTACCCCGACTGTACCTTATGAATTTCATGCCTTTATCACTTTCTGCGCTGCAACTTACCCATCTTCCATATTTGTTGCAGTTTCATACCGGAAATGCGACAATCTATTCTCCAACTGATTGTTCGTCCAACGAGCATCCATGAGAGGGCCGTGAACTTCATATGCTACGCGTTGGCATTCAGCGTCGGAATGCGGTCCTGCTTCATAGAGTCAGTCCCTGATCAATTTCCTCATTCATGCTTTTTTCCATGTTTGATTCTGATTAGTATTAATTTCTCATGCAGAAGGAAATATGTTCCCGGAGGAGTTCGGGCACTTATTTCACCTTCAATTTCTCAAACTCCATAAGTCAGTTGTTAACTTTGCCCCAACCGTAAGCATAATTGTTTAAGTGGCCTTCTCAAATTCATTATTTCCTTGAAAATCCACGCAAAATAGTAATAATAAAGTAATAAAACTGTTAGCCTAAAACATGATTACGTTTCTGTCGCGAAATACTCCCTTTGATGGATTGTTAAAACGATGAGTAGAAAGGGGTAAATAAATGACGGTATTTGGCTCTCTATATGCCTACAATGCAGATAGAAAGCCCTGAGTAGTGAAATTGCGGTACAACCACAGACTGCTCCCAGTTCTCGTCTTATCTCTACTTGTTAGACTACGATCATGGGTATAACAAGATTGTCGACAAAAGCAGGCGGACTGAAATGACCCCTTTGACTGTCATCAACCAGCCATACCCAAGTTTTTCAACCATTGATGTTTGAACCCCTGACTTGGCAAGAAGTCTAACACCCTAACCATTGAGCCGCGGGATCTTGGTCCTGTCGGCTGTGATTGGGTATGTTAACTGGTAGTGGGCCGCCCACTTGTCGCCCACCGATCGCACTCATCTCTTTGTGCGTT